TATCTATCTATCTATCTATCTATCTATCTATCTATCTATCTATCTATCTATCTATCATACCACACATCTGGTGCTAATAACACTAACAGAGGAAACCTCAAATCAAAACATCCAAGATTTCTGAAGTTCAATGCAAGTTAAAAGAGAGAGGTGTGAAATGCAAACCACATTGTTATATTTTCTTCTTCCTTTTTCAGAAACCACTGGGAGATAAAACATACATAGAAGGAAATTTGAAAATAATGAAAGACAAATTGGAACAGGTATGTTGATTTAAGAATATATTGATGAGAGCAATGGAGTTATCCTCCCTACTTTCCTCACTATGGAAGGTTGAATTAAATGTCTGGAAAGGCTCTGTCCAGCTTTCAGGGGCTGTAGGTATATTATTGGAAAAAAGGTGAGGGCTTAAGGGATTAAGTTTAAAAGCAACCCATGTTAAACCAAGATAGTGCAACAGGAAAAGTGCTTTACAGTGCTATTGGCTAAATTGACTGGAGATATTGGGAGTTTTTGTCCAAGAGGGTTCAGATCGGAGGAGGTTGACATGTGGCATCTTATAGTTGCATCCACATTATTTGTATTTCTTCCTTTTATCTTCCCTCACTCTCCATTTCTTCAATTGTTTTCAACATCTCCTTTTTTGATTTTCAGTTTTCTTTTGAGTATGTTACTTTACCAAGCTCTTTGTACTGTTGTATATTTGCATATTTTCTTTATGATGGCAAAATGATAAAAATATCAGAGCAAAGTAATCTTGGTGGTGGCAGATGCAACAGCTATTTCTTTGCAAAAGAAAGTTTTCTTGTATTAGGAATGTTTTTGTTTTAATATGATACAATTAGACATGCAGTACAGATATCAATCAGAGGAGCTATGATCTTTTTTCAACAGAGAATTACCTCTCCAATTTATTGATTAAACCATGTTTCAGGTTTTCACATCTATTAAGTATGGTTACGATCTACTGTAGCTATGGAAATGCATTATGACACTTTGAAGTCCAAATATATTTAAGATAGCACATGCTTTCTTTAATTATTTTAGTCTTTAGGTTGCCACTCAGTGGCCACAGGATATCTTAAATTTGCTAATCTTTTTACCATTTTTGATTACATTTTATTTGATGTCGCATATGTGAGATGTCAGATTTATTTTAAATTTACTACTGAGGGTCATAGAGGCAGTTTGATCAGAGTGATTCAGCAAGGTCATGATTACCCTGAATAGCTTTGATAATTGACTGTATCCCTTATATCTTCTATCACACAGGACCACACAGTTGATCCTAGAACAAAAGACAACCCCCCCCAAAACCTTTTCATATGTTAAAAACAAACCAGCAGTCTTTTGCTATACTAAATTATATTAGGTACAGTCTTTTATGAAAAATCACCCCCATTATCAAATAAAATTCTAGGCAAAGCAGTATATTCTTTGTTCTATTGAAGATCTTGCTTTTGCTTTGATTCTACAGTTGGGAGAGAATGGAATGAACAAAGTGCTTGGTGAACTTGATTTGCTGTTTGACTATTTGGAGAATGCATGCACTTCAAAGAAAGCAAGTGATGGCCACCAGAGCAACACGAAGAACTGAATGGATCATCAAAATTATGATATCTTCTTCATATACTGGAGAAAAAACAATACATATTATGGGTCAATGTTAAGGGCAATTTGCAGAAATCTTTGTTCATATGATACAAACGGTTTACAAATATGTTGAATGCTGCACAATTTATGAAGATTTCAGATGTATCTCAAATTACTTACTCCTTTCCAGAGTGAGAATAATTATATTATCTTATTTTGGAAAAACATTTTGACAGATATTTTAATGACAGGCAAAATTTATATGAGAGAAAAATAATGCTTTTCTGGATTAATAGTAGACTTTAATCATCTTAGAAATCAATGATCTGAGGACAGAGTAATTTTGCTAATGTAGACTAATTTTACTTGAAAGAAAGGGCTAGTGCAGAGATGTAGTGGCCCTCCTGGATCTATTGATGCAATTTGTCACATGTCAAGGAATTTTAATTGTAATGCAAAGGGGAATTTAATATTGATTAAGCCGAGGAAAGACTAACTAAGAAGGTCTAAGCAATGGGGCTGCTGCTAAGCTGGTGGCTAGTTTGGACTCAAACAGCAATGCAATCAGTAGCACCTTCAGTCAGGTGTCCTTATACAAAAAGTTTATTGTATAATTATTGTGAGGTCATAAAACTCCTCTTGAGCTACCACCATCATAGGAATAGGATGTGTAATATACAAAACAGTAATAGAAAATTGTGGTCATCTAGAAGTCACTGGTTTAAACTCTTATCAGCCCTTGTCCACACTGTAAGTGGATCAGGGATGATGAGGGTTGTAATCCAATAAAACCTAAATCTACCTTTCTGCTATACACACCTTTCAAAGTTATTAAGATGGCAATTATTTGTCCATCTCATCTGAGAGATGTGGTTCTAACACATCTGGAGGATTCTAGTTGGAGGAAGCGATCGAGCCCCCAATTCCGGTGCAGACAAAGTACATGGAATTGTCTACTCATGTTGGATATTTATAAGAAATGGGCACCCCTTTTTACTCTGAGATTCTTATTTTTAGAAGCACCATTCCAAGGAAATGAGTTTAGAAAATAATATTCTTATGCTTGGCCCCTCCCACCAAAATTATTAGTTGTTGCTAGAACAAGATTGTCTTCCTCACTCTGGCATCCTCCAAATGTGCTGGACCACAAATGCCCTCATCATGAGCCAGTTCACCTGATGATTTTCTGGCTGGAGATGACAGGAATTGAGGTCCAGTGCATCCGGTGGCTCCCTTGAAGGCATCATTGAATAAATAACAATTTGGCAAATTGTAACAATGGAATTTCTGATAACATTATGTTAAGTTATGCAATTTTATATATAAAAAAGTATCTGAATCATTTTCTTAGAATTTCTCCAGAGAGTCACTATATATTATTATTTCCAATAGCATTTTAATGAATATTATTACTGGATGATAACTAATAATTTATTGTTATATTTTATATAATTTATATGGTTTATTTATAAGAATATTTTAGGATACACTTATAAATTTATTTATAGCAATATAATAGGATGTAATCATATAAGTTTAGTGAGTGTTTTCTTGTAGTAATAACACACTTTTGATATGATTTATTTGTTTATTATCAAAATAAACATCATTTGAAAATAAAGATTCACACATGTGAACACTCTTTAATAAAACTGAACATTGGATTTGTTTAACTTTTGAAAATTACCAATAAAATGGCAATAGTTTAATTATATTATATCTTGACTTCATTATATGTGGCATCTACGTGACTTGTCAGTTTTGGAGATATTAACGGTGGGTGGCAGGAATAGGGAGGAAGAAGGAATTCCTTGCAATGGTTATTTCATTATTCTGTCCAGTGCCTTCCCCTTAGGAACACTCCACATTGCAATCCTTCATTCCGAGTCTCACCTGTATTGCTTACTACCAGTTTCTGGGAGTAAACTACGGGGGATAAACTACTATTGCTGGCATGATATGCATGTAAAAACCAGTGGTACCTGGTTGACCACTGACTGTGGGGATCGGGAGGAAATGTCAAATAGCCTTTCGCTCTCATTGAGCAGGAATCATATTATTACTCAACAACAATGGTCTTCTCTGGTCTCCCAGCCTTGTCCTTCTCCCCACAAAAGCTCAGTAGTTGAGCTGCAAGAGCAGGAGTCTCTCCAATGCTTAATCAATGTAAGATGAGCTGTGCTGCTGGATCAGATCAACGATCTGTCTATCTACTTCAGCATCCTGTGCCCCACAGGCCAAAGAAAACAGTTAAGTTGGTATAAAAGAGGGCTAGTCTAAGAGGGAAAAACTCTCTGTCCAAAGTATTTTCCAAGACTGAGCTGATCAGGCACCTGCCCAATCCAAGAGACCATTGGGAATTGATTACAAGTGAATTATGTGCTGGCCCTGGCCCCAGCAATAAAATTGCTTGTGGGGTCAAAGAAGCAAAAGAGGACCTTTCCCTTCACTGAGAAATGGGAAATCTTCATTAGTACTATTGAGGGAGAGTGGGAGAGACATTTTGCATCTACAAACAATCTGGGCAGTTCTAAGTAGCTGTAGTGTAATCTGAAGGGCACAGCTTGCAATGGTTTGCTTGTGCAGTTTCCCAGTAATTCTGAATTTATTTTGCTGCTTTTTCATCCAAGCAGTTTAAGAATATGGATCAGAAGTGGCTCCCAGCAGTAGATATGTATTTTCAATTCTTGTGCTGGATTGAAACAAATGAATAGTAGAAGATAACTTTTTCCTCTGCCGAATACTTCTCCACAGCTAAACATTCCTTGTCATACCTCCCTTCTGATGTAATCATTAATAGTTCAAAATTTAGAAGTCAGTGATTACTTGAAATCATTGAATCCTGCCTCATGCACAGCTTTTGCTCTGTACAAGAAAACTCACCAAGATCTATTTCATGGTGTAGAAAAATGAGATTTCAGGGGATGATTGGATTTGGATACATTTGCATATTTTTCCCTACATAATGTGGTGATTTTCATACTAGGATTTCTCATGTGAGTATATTGTAGAAATGATTTGGATGAGGAAGTTTCTAAAAGGTCTGTAGAATTGCATCTTTGGAAATCTGATGGGACATTCATAGAACATGGCCTGTGATCAAAAGAACATCTTACCTCTGAGGTCTTAGATATCCTCACTGCGAAATATTTTGCTTTTTGCTGCTGGCAAAATAAATAAATAAAAGCCATATAATTTTTAAAAAGGTTTTATTGTGGAGAACCAACATGACTGAACCTCCTGCTGAACAGACAATAGAGAGCTATGCACAGAACAGAAATCCCACATCCTGCTGAGTAGGTGGCAATCTGTATTTCTTAGATTGGGTAGAAGCAGGAGTTTTTTCAATATGACATTTGTGAAATGATCATGTAACCTATAATCTCTTTAACCGTTGACATTTCTAGGTCCTGATTCAACTGCTAGACAATTTCAGAATATTTAGAGCTCATTTATCTGAGAGAGTAATTAATGTATAATGCCAATTCAGAATGCAACTTATAGATGTGGCGTAGAATTGCATTTTTGGTATGCTCTTTCACACATGAAACAACCCTCCCACCAGCAAAATTCTCCAACACCATGTTACAAAGGAAACTGCACTGGTTTCTTATAATAAGAGCAGAATTTGTAAAGCTCCTTCTTTCTTCTGACCTGCTGGGATCCTGTCATGGATATTTGCACAGGACTGGCTGCAATGAAACATAAAAATAATGTTTTCTTATTGCCTTTGGGCCTCTCCACCAGAAGACTGGCGACAATGTGATCATCATGGGATTGCTTTCCTGAGTTGAGTTCAGTCCAGTTGACTGTTCAGGATTTGTACTGGTAATAAGCATAGGGATATTTTCTTCCAGCTGCAATCTTTTCCTTCCAGATGGCTATGGAGATAAGGAAAGAAATCTCTCACTGATATTAATTAGCTGGGCCCTTTTTTTCTCTGCAGCCTACAGTCCTGCAGTACCTTCAGGCTGAATGTTTTCTTGGGCTAGGTGGCCCTGGGGATCCAACATGATGAAGTGGGAGTCAGCCTGCACTACCAGGCGCTGCCCTTGGTTTATCTGACTCATAGTTAGCACAATGGCTAAGATAGTGAAGGGATCAATATCTAAAGTGGCAATGAAGCAATATCTAAATTGGCAATGTTAACT